CCTCGTTAGACCTCAGGTGTTGGCGCGGGGAGTCCCCGGGCCAGGGCGGGACTGGGGCACCCTGCTCTCTCCACAGGCTCCCAGGAGATGGATCTGCTCCTGTGCTCTCAGCCCCCACCCTGGCCCGGAGCCCCCAGTTTTAGATGCAAGAATAGGAAAACCTCAGCACTGCCCCCTCACACAGCAGCCCCGTCCAGGCCAGGGCCTCCTGGGGGTCTGGCCTGAGGTGGGAAAACCATGACCGTGCGCACAGTTCACAAAGTTCTAGACTCACCATTGGCAGTGGTCACCTCCAAACACCCACACTTCCTGGGCGGAACCAGGGGACTCTGTCCCCACCTGACTGCCCCAGACCTCTGGTTCCTCCCAGCACCCTCTCCATCCCAAGCAGGCATCCCCACTGAAGGATTCACAAAGTCCCTCAGCGGTTTCAGACCTCAGGAAGAAGAGGATACGCATGCAAATCGCTGCAGAACAAAGAAGAACTTAGTAAGTGTCACATGAGCAATGTGTTTCTGAAGAAGATAATTTAGGAAGTTTCACTAAATCTTCGAGTGTGGCTTTGATCCCTACCTCATGGAAGCTGTGTGCCCCGGGGACCCTGCTCCCTCCCTCAGATGTACTGCCATCCTTCCTCTCTGACCCCGATGCCCACAAAACCAAGTGAGCCAGAAAAGGAAGATAATGAAAGACGGAAGATGTGGCCAGGAAGGGACGAAGGACAATATACAGACGAGTTAATTTTTCAAGGAACATGCATCCAAGGAAAAAGAACAGTGTTAAAACAGAAAAGAGGGTTCATGGAACAAAACACAAACACAGGCAGACAAAAAACTCATGATTTTCCAGATATGATAAACCAGATAAATTTTTTAAAATAGGGAAGCAAAATGCTATGCTGGGATGCTGCCTTAGACGGCGGATGTGTGTCAGACCACCAGGGCTGCTGCCATGATGTGGCATAAACTCACAGGCTTGAGTGGGAGAAGCGTGCTGTCTCGCCATCTGGAGGCTGGAGTCTGAGCCCAGGGTGTGTGCTGGGGAAGAATCCCCCCACCACTGCCTCTTCCTGGTGCCTGGAGGCTCTCAGCCTGTCCTGCGGTCTCTGACTCTGTGGTCGCCTTGCATCTCTACATCATTCAGGACTTTGAATATATCTAGTTCTCCTGGAGATGCTGTGCTCTTAATGATTTTATTGAGAGGTCTTTGTGTCTTCATCCTGTTTCACAAACTCAGCTTGCTGTTTCCAGAAGCCCTCTGTTGGCACCCTCATCTGTGCTGCTCCCAGTGGCTGTTGGCTAGCAGATTGTACGCGAGGGGCTCGTCTTGACGCAGGCATGTCCCCCACAAGGCTGACCTCACAGCTCTGGGACAGTCGGCTGTGTTGCTCTGCCTCCCCTGAACCTTCCTGTTTTCCACCAGTAACTGACCCCAGAGGTCCTGCTGCTACAGATCCTTGGTGCTTTTGTGGCACTTTCTTCCCCCAAACGCAGTCTTTTTCATTCCATTTCACTTCAGCTGGGATGTTCAGCCCAAGGACATCCTCATACAGCAGAACCTCAGCTACCCTTGTCCGTCATGTCGGATAGTCCTCGCAGGGTGGCAGGGGTGGGGTGGGACTTTCTTCCTTCTCTACCGAACAAATCAGCTGTACCCTAGAGGAAGGGGCGGCTTCACAGTCGGTCACACATTCCACCCAGATGGGCCCCAGCCACAAAACAAACTCAAGCTCACATTTAAACACTTTTCAAGTGAGCACATGACTCAGTGTCCTTTTTAAATGAATGAAATGGAAACTTAGTTTTCCATCTGTCTGACCCGAGGAAAGTCTTACAACAAATGTCTTCGAGATGCACATCTAAGAGGAACAGAACAAGAATGAGGAGCCCTGCTGAACAAATCAGAAGCACCAGCAAAGCCTGTGACCGCACACACGCTCACGTGCTGCAAGGGGAGAGAGAACTTCCGGCTCTGCCTGGTTTTGGTCAACGTGCCTGCCAAATTTTAGCTCTTTTCAATTTCAAGGTTTAGTGTCTATAACATTTGCAATTTTCAATGTTCTTTGAATAAAGAAAGACATGATCTGAACCTCTGCTGCATTTTGTGGAGGGCATGCTGCAAATATCAGCTGCAGTAAAGCACCATTCTTTCCACTACAGGGGAAGACGGATCTTCTTCAGTCTGGGCCCAAAGTCATTATTACTTTAACAGAGAGAGAGACAGGAAGGAGATTCTCTAAAGTACATGCAGTGGATTGTGTCACTCAAAACCCCATCTGCGGAGAGCCTCTGCGTGAGCAGTTTACACCCCAGACGACACGCCGTCCACCAACTGCACCAACACCTAAGCGTTAGCCAGCAGTGACGCCAAAATGACTCATTCCAGTCTCCAAACTTCCCAGGAAGCAGACAGGTGAGACTCCAGAACGTCTTGACAGCTTTGACCATCACCATCACCATTAATTACATGTCTGGAAGCGGCTGCAGAGATCTGGCCTACATCCTGTCACAGTGGTGTTCCCCTTAGATACCTGGGAAGCAGACAGCAAAAGGACCAGGGTGTAGGAGTGAAATTCAGGACTGCCTTTTTGTCACTGGCTCACAGACGTGCAGGTCTAAGTGGAGAAATTATCAGCTAGCATGGATGGAGGACACTCGCCAGTGGGTTGAGAAGACGTGGGCTGGACCCTGTCCGTCCATGGCAACAGCATCAGCAGTCGCTGAAAGAGATTATCTTCACCCATAAGTTTATAGAGGCTTGAATTCATTCTCTGAACTTCCACTCAAAGGTCACAATCATTTTTATATTAAAAAGCAGGGGAAGCCTTTCTATTGTGATCAGAAATAAACTTAACTTTTAAGTATTTCATCCTCAGTACCACAGAAGTAATAGAGTGGCATTTTGTGGAAACAAAGAGGTGGAAATACAAAGAGCCCTCAAGCGTAGCCCAGTAGGCACCCGTGTGCAAATCACGGAAGGACTGAGCCCCGTCTGCCACTGGGCAGAGCCACCTCG